GAATATTCCATATCGTACAATATAATATGTATATATAATTAATTATGGACTCGCTAGCACACGGAGTTGTAAGACAAATTTATTTGAAGTCACTACTACCTTTCATAGCATAATTTTGATTAACTTATCGTTGGCATATACGGATAAAATGTGGCTTATAATGTAACTTATTATTAATTAATTGCGTGCCGAATTAATACCAACAACTGATAATTTTGCACGAGCAGTGAACTATATATATATAGCTAAAAACTATATAAAGGGAATATATAAATGGGAAGTTAGATTTATTGGACATGTAATGAGAAAACGAGAGACTGAATACAAATTAATTAACGGGGAACTCTTCGAGGTGCCATTAGAACAATTGGGATACACCTCGGAGTGAGTCTCCAGTGCAACGTTCTTGAGTAAATGTGTTGTGATCAGAGCTGCATGGAAGAAAGTCCGTGTGCCCGACGTGCTCCACAGAGCGCGTGGCTCGTAGATATATATATACAGTCTATATCTAAACTTGTAAGGAGATCGCCTATGTGTTCCACGTGCGCGCGTGTGTCCACGTGGAACGCGTGCGCGCGCACACACGCACATGCAACGCGCGCGCGCACACGCACGCTGAGACCTCAGTCGTAATCTGAATCGGCTTCATTAACGCAGACGACGCGAATTGCTTGGCGCGTCACGCGAGACGCGTTTAACAATCATCGGGCGCGTGCAGTGCGAAAATGAGTTCATGTGAATGGTGAGTCATTGATGAACGCGGGAAAACAGAGCGCGGTGGATGGCGAGTACTGGAGTTTGGGAAACCTCTGCGTGGGTAAACACATGCGTGGCCCCATTCGATTAAATCGGCAAATAACATCGTCTGCATTATACGAGTGCGTTAAACATTGCCTTGAATGTCAAATGAACGCTCGTACTTGACGGATGCCGGCTATTATGGGAGATTCTATATATATATATTAAATGAGTTCTGCAGATATACAATGAAAAGGATCAGTCCGCTTATATATATACATACACAGATATATACATACAGACGTTTCATATAAACGTGGTATGGCACGAACTTCGCCAAAACCTTCAAAGAATGTATCGAGTACTTATACACAAGACAATAGTAATAATGCCACGTGTTCTTTATCTACAGCCACGATAAGCATCACCCAGTTTCGAGATTCCTTTTCAGGACGAGCCTGTACTGGTCCAATTCGTCTGTTGAATTCGTGGGTGTCTATTTTGTTTTGCTTGCATATCACACGCATTCGATGGCCTAATAATACTCGACATCATGTGCAGACATTTCAATGAACCCACTTGCAGTGCTGCCGATCAATTTAATTTCAAACGCATTATTTTTTGGCGATGCTGACATTTGCGGTGGTTAACTAGCAGAAATGACAACAACAACAGCAACATTGAACACATTTGTACGTTGCATACAGAGGCGGTAGCAGCTGCACGGCACCACACAGCGGACCGTGTGTCCGTACTCTCGATCTGTTTCAAGATTGCAAAAAGGGATAATACATCGGAACTTGTTTTCACCTGGCAAAATAAAGGAGGCCGATTGTTTTAAAACTAGATTTCAAAAAATGCTGTTGTATAATCCCTACATACCGACTAATAACCAGGTTCTTCCATGATCATCTCAATTCGCATTCGCCTCGTGAAATCAAAGTCAAATAGTCAAAGCATCTTCTTGCTTAACCGACCAATGGGATAATCCAGTATGTCGTTGAAAACTCCACATTTCTACGGTGAGGACCAGGCTCTCCATGGGATGACCACTCGACTGGTTGGTTGGTCATCATATATTGGACTCGCAAACTTCAAATTCCGAGCCAAGCATGTGTGTATGTTGAAGCTGTTTCGCACCGTACGTCGCCAGCCGTGCTGATGGGAGGTGCGGGGGAAGGACAACAAACTAAACACAAGAAGCAGTTCTAAAGAAATTCGTTTTCAGTCTTACTTATATTTACAAAATAAGATTGTATGGCCTTAAACGCGAAACGTCTGTAATAGGCGACGTTTCGTGCAACGGCCCATCTTCATGTGCTATCACTCCCTCACTGATGTTTGACGTGACTATTAAAGAGATATTGTTTGTAATTTTAATGGAATATTACACGTCTGTGTACATGTTTATTTAAAATGCGGATCAAAAATATTCACCCTTCTCAAAGGGTTAGAGCCGAACGGATCCGTCACCTATCATTATTATTCTTTGGTGAGCGGGAGGGGTACATGCATTCACGACTCTCATTGTAATGCACGTTGGACTTCTTTCGCACCGTACGTAACTTAACCGTGCAAATCGGAGGTGCGGTGGAAGGATGATTGGCCGTAGCGTCTCTGTGGCGTGAGCGTTGACACCGCAAGCAAGAGCAGAAACGCGGCGAGTGCTACCAATCAACCTCCACAGGTTTTTGCGAGACCCAAAGTTTTAAATAGTTGGTTTTCGAATTTGTCCAAAAAAAAATTAGACTCGTGTGTGTGTGTATTTTGTCTATGTGCCTTGTCCTGTCTAAGAGATGTCAGTTACCGTGGGCTTTCCATCCGTTTAGCTCCGTCCGTGACATTTATTCAAGAACGTTTTGTTAGATGCTGCCAGTTGCATTCGGACTCGAGTGTGTGTGTATATGTGTGTGTATATGTGTGTGTATATGTGTCTATGTGTATGTGTGTGTATATGTGTGTAGGGAGCGGTAGTGTAGCGGTTAGCGCGCTGCGCTATGAACCCGGCGACACGGGTTCGATTCCCTCTCACGGCCAACACCAGTGACGATTATTTGAACCGGTCCCGGGCCTCCCCTAGGTCGACTCAGCCTCAAATGAGTACCTGGTGCGGTGTGTAAACATTACCACTGGGGAGACAAAGGCGGTCGGGCGTGGTGCTGGCCACCCACCCCCTCGTGTACCGTTGCGGCCTTCATAGGTGCTCGCTAACAGCACTTGCCCCTACAGTCTGTTAAGGCTATACGGGGGATCTTTATATATGAGTGGGGAGCGGTAGTGTAGCGGTTAGCGCGCTGCGCTATGAACCCGGCGACCAAGGTTCCCGCTCACGGCCAACACCAGTAACGATTATCTGAACGGGTCCTGGGCCTCCCCTAGGTCGACTCAGCCTTAAATGAGTACCTGGTGTGGTGTGTAAACATCGCCACTGGGGAGACAAAGGCGGTCGGGCGTGGTGCTGGCCACCCACCCCCTCTTGTACCGTTCTGGCCTTCATAGGTGCTCGCTAACAGCACTTGCCCCTACAGTCTGTTAAGGCTACACGGGGGATCTTTTTATCTTTTTATCTTTGTATATATGTGTGTGTATATATATGTGTGTATATATATGTGTGTGTGTGTATATATGTGTGTGTATATATGTGTGTGTAAATGTGTGTGTAAATGTGTGTGTGTGTATATGTGTGTGTGTATTAACGTTAGTGACAAAAACAAAATCACTGGGTCCTTGCAGGACATCGTTCTGGTGTATGTGAATGACAATCCGTCACACTGCGTGTATGCGGTATATGTGTATATAGATAGATATACACACACACACGACGAGAAACCAGGAGCGGACTTTGGCCACTTTCATCACCGCCACGGCCGCTTGCTCGTAAAGACGAAGTGATTTAAAATCCGATTTCACATTTATATTCCCAGCCCTTGAAAAACGCACAAATAAATCTTTCGTCGACCTAAATTATCCAATAAAGAAGTTTCAATATTTTTGATCAGAACATTTTAAAGGAGAGCGATTATTTGTGCCAAATGTACAGCCTTCTAGCCGTTATAGAGCATGATTATAAATTTACAGCAACGACAAAGATCCCCCGTGTATCGCATGAACAGACTTTTGGGGCAAGCGCTCTTAGTGAGCACCTATTAAAGGCCGACACGAAGAACGAGGGGATGAGTTGCCAGCACCACGCCCGGCCGCCTTTGTATCTTCAGTGGCTATGTTTACACACCGAACCAGGTACTCATTTGAGGCTGAGTCGACCTCTGGGAGGCTCAGGACTGGTACAGATAATCGTCACTGGTGCTGCTGGCCATGAGTGGGAATTGAACTCAGGTCGCCTGGTTCATAGTGCAGCGTGCTAAACGCGAACCCAACCGCTCTTCATAAAAAAATAAACTCACAACACTCACTAATTCAGCCGTCATCTCCACTTGTCAAAGGCAGTGTTAAATTGAATGCAGACGAGGGTAAATGTGTTTTTTTTTGTTTCAATCGATCACTTTTTTCAATTTTAATTTCTACAGCGCCTAAATATACGTGGGGAAGACTGCTCACTCGGCACTAGGCGGGCTCGGAGCGAGGATGATTGACGTAAGGCACGACCACTTCAGAGCCTATCCGTAACAATCTTCTAATATCCGATCCTACATTTCAATGTACAACAATCATTTAAAGAGGTTTATATAAAATTAAGGACACAAATAAGGTGAAACGGATTGCGGAGCGCCTAAATCGTTTCTGGAACTGCGCTTCGCGCTCTTCTGGCAAAAACGTCGAGCACGGCTGGCTGGCTACGCAGAGTGCGAAAGACGCTCAACTCACACACAACACAAAGCGCAGAGAGGACGTAGAAACGGCGTCGCGACCAGCCTTAACCAGGGGACAGGACGCCGACTGCACGGACGGCCGCATGGATGCATTGAGAATGAGCAATTCGATTTAAAGCTTTCGTGACTGCAGGGATTCATCTTCTTGGTTCTTTCGGTAAAGTCACGTAGAATTATAATATTTTATTTTTATTATTTTATTATTTCCATTCTACGTGACTTTACCGAAAGAACCAAGAAGATGGGAATGAGCAATTGAAGAAATAAAATTGATAATCGTAAAGGCGGCGGGTAAAGAGGCCCGCCCTTAAAGAAAATCGCATTAAATAGAAATATAAAAACTAACGGGGGGTTTATTTTTTTTGGGGGGTGGGGGGAAGAGGGGGGAAAGAGGTCCGACAAAAATAAATTCGTGCAAAGCGAAGGACTCACTCGAGTGGAATCTGACCGCCTCTTGCGCCGGACTCAGCCACGCTGCTGAACTGGTGGAGGTCGCGTCCGTGTAGCCGTGGTGGATGTCAGCGAGGCTGCCCAGCGCGCCGTAGCTCTGCACGGAGCCGTGGTGGAAGGAGGGAGCAGTATGCTGATGCTGCGCCAAACTCTGATTGAGATGCTGGTGATGGTGGTGGTGGTGATGATGGTGAGGGTGGTGATGCAGCTGATGGTCTTGACCGTGCTGCTGCTGCTGCTGCAACAGATGCTGCTGCTGCTGTTGCTGGTGCGTCTGATGTTGATGGTTGTGATGCTGTTGGCCTGGTTGGTGCTGCTGCTGCTGCTGCTGCTCGTGTAGCTGTTGTTGCTGCTGCTGCTGTTGCCTGTACGCGTTGCTGAACGAAACTCCGAAAGTGGAGGGCACATCCATCGCGCTCACTTTTCTGAACGCCTCCTCGAAAGGGCTCAGAATGTGAGCAACGGAAAACTGGGTTCTGCATTGAGGCTTCGGACTTTGCGACATATCTGCTGGGTTCAAATATAAGTGTGAGCTCGGGCCGCTACTTACGACGATAGAAGCGAATTTCCTTTATGTTTACGTTCCCTCGTTTTTTTTTATTGAAAGAAAAAAAACATTAGAAAAGAAAAAACGCGTTCTATTCTTTATCTCAACAGATCCCAAAGAGACCGGGCCCCTATATTAGTCAGACTCGTAGGCACGACCAAAATGCAGGTACGAAGCGACGCGCTTGTGTATTTAACGTGGGCGCCAGGGCTTTAAGAAAGGCGGAGCTCGGCCAAAAGGGAGACCCTCACAATTGGACCGTTTCCCTCCCGAGTCCTAGAGACGCTGAGGCTGCCACCCCCCCCCCTGTCTCCCCTTTATCTCGGCCGAGGGCCACCCACGGACCCACGCCACCCCGCGTGGGTCCGTGAACGCAGCACAATTAGGGCTGCCGCGCGCAGATTATCGCCGACTGCGCGTCGAGGCCACGTGTCCCGCTTCTCAATCGAGTTAAATGTGACGGCAGCTGCGGGCTACTGCTACTGCTGCTGCTGTGGTGGTGGTAGATCGCATCGTCTGTGCCACCGGTGGTTGCTGTTTGTTAGCTGGACGCGTGGCGGGCTTGGTTATATTTTTTAGGTGGTGCGGGGGCTTGTGTTCATAAACCGTAATTTAAAAATAAAATTTGTTGATGATGATGAATGTACAGCATTGTTTGTCCATCCGCAGCTGGATGAGGGCCTCCCTGACGCCTTGTGCGGGTCGCGAGCATTATTTGGCGTAGAGCAGGCTCCGGCAACCTCATTAAGGGCTGCCTCGCGGCATTACGCATTGAGGCCGTCTCGTATTCACACGCATTGCGGCTCTTGTACTATGGAGTTGTTTTATCGAATTCGAAAATAATGTTTATTTTTGCTATTTTGATTACTGACCCGTGGCATAGAGCGAGAGCAGTACAGCAATGGGTGTTGCTGCTACTACCCCTCTTGTTGACTCCGCAAAGCCCCGTGGCAACCTATTTGTGCGTGGTGGTGCTCACCCATCCGAGAGCTCTCCAGGCTTGCGCCTGCTTAGCTCCCGAGATGTGACGAGGTTTAGCCCCACAACTCGTTAATTTGGTCGGAGGAAACCCTACACTTCGTTACGAGTTTATATTCATAATAAACGTTTTTGGGTTAGATCGCGTTATGTATATATGTGTCGTAACCCTCCACCACCCGACACGGCCAATCAGTACAAAAGTGTCACGTTGACAAAAGACAAAATAGTTCACTACTTCAGCCCACCGGTGTGTTGAAGAGTGAATCCACAACATTTTACAGTTTTTGAGTACGACGTTTCGCTGGTAATTACATCCAGCATCATCGGGCAATTTTCCAGAATGGTGAAGCCCTCATTTGCTCCCGGTCTTAAACAGAGCAGCAGGGTGACGTCATCATTTAACTATGGAATTTCCATCACCGACTCACGGATCGCCCATTTCTAATGTTATGGTTAAGCTCATGGGGTGGTGGTGTTGGCTATGCACGCCTCGAATCCAGCACTGTGGGTCTCGAGGTACCATAACCCTGGCTTGGTCAGGAGAAGGCAGCAAAAAAAATGTGTACTCCACCTGTTACTCCCACATGTAAACCACTCATTAATTGGTCGATAGACATCTTAATATATAGAGAGGACCGCAGAACTTGGGCAATTGTTGGCGCTGGCTGCTGCCGTTCCCGCTTGTCCATGGCTCCGAGTCGCGTCTCCGAGTCGCTCTCTCTCTACGGGAGTGAGCGAATTTTGTGCGGGGACGGCGCGTTACAGGTTGAAATTATTATTAACATTATAAAAGCGCAGCCCTGCAACTGCTTGCTCACCGCACTGCTGGCAGAAGTAGTCTCCACTAGAGCAAACTGTTGATAGCAAGCCCCCCCCCCACCACCACCCCCTCTATTTGAGTGTGTCTTCCATACTAACCAAGATGTCTTGAAATAAACTATCAAACTACGAACATTTTTTTTATTTTTACAGGTAAGGCCCACTGAGCTATACAGCTATTTTTCAGAAGCGACCTGGCCACAAATGATAGCTCAACGAAGTGGCTCGTCACGTGGAAATTCATAGCAGCAAAATGCTCTGGACGCATGTTTCTAAACGTAGAGGGGAAAAACCGGAGGACCTGGAGAAAATCCAAGCGTCCACGGCGAGGACATGGGAACTCCGAATATATAGCCCGTCAGGGTCGCGATTGAACCCACGACTTCCTGTATTCCCGGCGAGACATTTAACATCTCGCCACCGTGACCACGACGTGGTGTGAGTACCCACATTTTACCCCACCACACCCGACCGTTCGCCGAGCTGCTCACCTCGTGAGCAGCCTGCCTTGTACAAACCATGCCCTAGTAATTACTACCTCACTCAAAAGACATTTTCCCTTGTACCCTCTCGGAACCCCCGAGAGTCGCTTTGGTCACTTCGAGAGCCCCCGGGTTCTGGGGCTACTTAACGCCGAGTGATTAATGAGTAACCCCTCCCCACCCACACCCCCCTTCTTCCATCCCCTCCTGCACCATTGAGTGACGTAGCCGAATAGATGCATCGGGATGCTGCCGCAGTGGTGCAGTTTATAGTTCGCATCAAACACAAACTCGACTCGCAATCCAGAAGTCGCCGGTTCGATTTCCCATCTCCCGGAGCGGCAGCTTAAAACGACGGGGCATGTTTCTTCGATCATGCCGTCGTCTGTTCACAGAGCGGTGTCAAATGATTTGAGCAGGGTGCATGCAAGGCGCCTGGCCCCATTGTGGAAGAGTAGGCCAAATTACCCTCGAGAGGGCCACCCCCAGAACTACCCAGAGTGGGGAGGTCCTTCTGCCAGCGGTGGCGTGAGCGAGCAATTGCAGGGTGGCGCCTTTACCTCTTATCATCAGCATTATGCACTTCGAAGTAATTGGTAATTTGTGTCTAATCTTGATTGGAGGCTTTCGTGACTGCAGGAATTCATACTCTTTGGTTCTTTCGGTAAATTAAAAAATACAAATAAATAAATAAGAACCAAAGAGTATAACTTGTATCTAATTGACACCGCCTCCAGTAATTAGTAAATGTAATATATTTGCTCATCTCTGAATGTATTGCTGTATTCGGCACGTACCGACGGAGAAGCTAAGTCACACTGGAGCGTTTATTTTGACTAATCGAGCCAAAAATGCTTCCTTGATGACATTATCCTGGAAAGCAAATAAGGGCGATGGACTGAACAAAATATATCATTGTATTTACGCGAGGGATAGAGATTGTACTTTTGCTTAAACCCAATGATGGCACAGCAACGCAACGTGATTGATTTTTCGCTTTCGAACCTGAGCTCCCATCATTTCAAAGGAGTTTCCTTGCCAACACAGCATCTGAATCATCTCGCGGCGTTTGTTTAGCAAGCCTGACTGCTGACGAGGACTCTGTAGGTCAAAGCCGGTCTCGGAGGTGGCTTTCTTTAACACATGTATGTAATATTGGTCGAATAACATTGCCTTAAAACGAAAACAAAAACGATATATATAAAAGGGGTGCCTGACGTTTCGAGCAATGACACTACCAGAGGATGCCAGAGAGGTATCCGCACGCGTTGGACGGTCTCTGGCCTCCCCGTGTGCTGTGAAGAAGCGTCATTGCCCGAAACGTCGCCGTTTATATACTTTATCCTCTTTGAGTCAGAGTCATTAACCAGAGTGTTGAGTTTGCTTCGTGTTATTTGTCCTCGTGCACCACTGCCAACGCAACAACAACAACAACATCATCATCAGCAGCAGCGGCAGCGGCAATCACCAAACAACGTTGTCATTTATCTTCTTGGTTCTTTCGGTAAAGTCACGTAGAAGGGAAGTAATAAAATAATAAAAATAAAACATAATACAATAATTGTCACGACGTTTCGGCCACAACGCAAGCAGCCGTCCTCAGGTGAAGACCAGGTCTGTCGGGGAGACAGCGTCTGAATGTGGCCGAAACGTCGTGAGAATAATTTTATTACGTTTTATTTTTTTATTTTATTACTTCCCTTCTACGTGACTTTACTGAAAGAACCAAGAAGATGAATCCCTGCAGTCACGAAAGCTGTAGAATCGAAATTTAACGTTGTCATTTATTTTTTTGCCTGGGAAAGCCAATTGGATGATGGAACCAAAATGGATATTCGCGTTGGGGCGCAGGGAATAAAGTTTCGTCTTCATGTTCGCTCGCGGCCCGTGTCCATTGCGTTCCATAGACGTCTTTGTGGCGAGCCACTTACTCGCGGTGTCCCCGACGCCAAAGTGGTGCCAGCACATTTGCTCAGCTGCGCTTTAGATGTTGGAGAGTGTGTGGGGGGTGGGGGGTGGGGGAGGGCATTTATTCCGGTGACGTCACGGCGACTCCTATCACACGCGGACGTCTCTCGTCTTTTGTTGTTGTAAGTTTGTTGTTGTTGTTCTTGTTGTTGTTGTAAACTCCAAACCGTGGCTATGTACTGTCACATCTCCGTGGTTGCGGTCTGACGCCTTGATCGAGAATCGTGTCTTTTAGAACGAGAAGTGGGTAAGGCCCACTGGGATATATGGCTTTTTCTTCAAGAAGCGCCCTGGCTATCACATATTGCATCTCAACGAAGTGTCTGCTATCGAAATGTGAAAATGCTTCGCAGCCAAATACTCTCTTTCCACGCACCTTGATTCTGAATGTGGAGGGAAAACCCGGAGGACCCGGAGAAAAAATCCACTCGACCACGGTGAGAGCGACGCTCAAACTCCGAATAAACGGCAGGCGTCACGATCGGGATCGAACCCACGACCTCCTGCATACCAAGCGAGGGAGTTAACATTCCCCCACCTCTCCTGCTGGGCCTGACCCTTTCAATGCAGAACCACCGAGCTGAATGCACGCCGAGGCTGATAGAGAGACAATCACTCTTAACGAGTAACCTGCCACCATTCCATGGTAAGTGCTAACCCTCGTGCATACGTACGTGCTCTTGTTTAACTGATTTTACTATCATACTGATAAGGTCATTGCGTGGGGGTATGCAATCTATGCGAGCACAGTGGACAATACACAATACAGGCTTCCACGTTGCACATCAACAACATGTAGTTATTCATGCCGCAATGATTTGAGTGCACAGTTCATAAGAAAGATACCCGGCGGGGAGTTGAACTACGCGGACGTCCAGAACAAACGCC